TATATTTTTAATAATAAAAAATAATTAATTTGTTATTAATTTTTTGTATATATTATAAAAATATAGAATAATATAGTATTTAAATAAAATATTATATTTTTAAAAATATTTAAAAATATTTCATTATAATTTATTTATATACGTTGTTCCTAAAAAGACGATAATATATAATATACTTCTAAATTTGATTTGCATTACAATAAAATCAATATAATAATTTAAACAATTTAAGCATTGCAAAACAACATGTAAAGATAAAGGTAAATAATAAGTTTAAATTATAATTTTAGTTAAATATAAAAATAAAGTTAAGTTCCAAAGCATACATGTAAAATGCCAAAATTCAATTATAATGTCTCTATATTTAATGGAGGTTGAAAATATTAAATAATAAACGTAAATATTTGTAAGTTTTAATACAAAGTTAATCTTATTATTAGTTGAAAATAATATTTGTTTCTGTAATAAAATTTTATGATTTATAATTTTTATTGATTATATTTAAATTTAATGGTATTAGGATTGTAATTAATATTTAATGTAATATATTAATTTTTATTATCATTTTAAAATATAATGACTTATACTGTTATACATATATGTTTTTTCAAACGTAGTGTATATTAAATATTCTGAAGTAATTAAATTTGGGTTAAAATACTAATTTGGTCCTTTATAATATTTTTTTTGTTTCAATTTAGTCTCACTTTAATTTTTAGTTTTAATTTGGTCCCTAATAATTTAAATTAGTGCAATGTCGAACTTCCGTCTAAATTATTTAAACAGAGTTAATTGTTGGTCACGTGGATGCCAGGTGGATGTCACGTAGATGCATAGGTGGATGCCAAATTTATTTAATGCACCTAGAACCAGAACGACCCGTTCTGGTTGCACATATTGTGTGTTCTTTAACTCATCTCATCATAAATTCATACAACTCAACTACACAAAATGATTATAAATAACCTGAACACTCATGCGTCAATAGGTTAAATTTAACAAGCTTCCCTTACCTCAAGAAGCTCAAAAATAAAAGGGAAATGACGAAACTTGAAGTCTCTAGGATCGTCGTACATCTTCCACCGAACTCAAATTCTTAGCTTTAAAAGCTTTGAATCCTCAACTCCATCCTCTTAAATCAACTATAGGGAATGATTGAAGAAGAATTTTCAGAAGAAAATGGAGAAGAAAGATTCAATCTTAAGAGAACTTTTCTCTAGACTTTCTTAAAATATGAACTTATAAGGTTCACGTCTTAAAATTTTTTTACATACCTTTCCTTAAGTTAAACTAACTTAACACCTGACTCAACTACCTCAAAGACAACTTAACTCTTAAGGTTCCTAAACTCTCAGAGCTTTAACAACATTCATAACAACAAAACACCATTTAATCACATATAATTAAATTAAAACACCTAAACTAGACATGTCAGACAACCAAGTTGGCATGACCTAACTTGACCTACACAAATCAATTGTTATTTTAAGTTAGGCTGGCTTGACCTATATATATTTTGTAGGTTGCCATTTAATGACTCAACTTGACCCATGTGGGGCCATCAAGCCAAATTGGCCTAATTAAAAAAATATACTTAATTAAAAAAATTAAATATATATTTTTTACAATGAAAAAGAAAAATAAAAGTTATAACATGATTAGAAGGATTAGTAACAACGATAGGCTCTCTTTGTGTTAGATAAAGTTTCTATTGTATCTAAATCATCCACCATACTATCAAAACTATCACCAACATTCTTGACTGCAATATTCAAAATTAAATAACTTTATTCGTTCAAATTATAGTTCCCATAATGAATTATAAAGTAACAATAAACTAATATAATTCTTAGTTTAGTTCACAAGCAATGACAAGCCAAAATTCATTTCACAATTTTTAGTCTACACAACATAAGCCTTAAAAAATAAAATAACATACTTGATATTTTGTAAGAGTTGGAACTAGGGGTAGCATCAACATGTAATAAAGCAACAAATGATAATTGAAACGAGATGGGAAAAATATCATAACAAAAAAGGACTTATTAGATAATAAATACATTTGAATAGCTGAGCAGAAAAAAAATCACATCATAAAGAGAAAGAAAGTTTTTTTTATAGAGTGAAGTGGTATCATGTTTTGCACCCTATAAGTATAGAGGAGCACGCGACTATGACTTTGTCTTCTTTGACAAACAAAACTTAGATAATGAATCAAGAGATCAAGCCATTAAGGGGGCAATAGAATTATGAGAGTGGCGAAACTCTCATAACGGTTAACTTTAACTTTAAACTTGAAAGTACAAACAAATACAAAATAAAAATAAAAATGAAAGACTATTACTATTTTAGAATTACTATATTTTTTCTATTATTTTGTAACACACTACACTACAAATTTATATTAATTTAAATTATTTCAATTATTAGTTTAATAAGTCAACCCATAAGCCTGTAGGCTAGCTTAACTTGAGACCATTTAACTTGTTGGGTTTAATGTGTCAGGTCAAAATGATTCGATTCTATTTAGACCATCTATTTTAACTTGACCTTATTTTCGGATTGGTTAGATCAATCCATCGAACTAAGTTCAAATTAACAACTTTAACCTAAACCTCACTTTTATTATTATATAATAGATGTTGAAGAATAAAATATAGAATTTATATTATATGTTGCAGCGTAGGAATGAACTCAATAAAATCTTCATTATCAAAAAATTTAGTGTAAAAGATAATATTATTATCAACATATACTTTAGTTATAAAGTTATAATAGGATAAAAAATATATTAAACTCATAGTTATATGTATTAATTTATAAATATTATATAATTTTTTTATTATCATAAAATAATATATTACAATAATTTAAAAATAAATAAAATAGATTTTATAACATTAAATTAATAAAATAAATTATTTTTTTAATGTATTTATTATTTTATAAAGCATATATTTAATCAAAATACTCGTACATATTATGAGTAGACATACGAATGATTATTACTATTCAATAGCGTGTAGTGAAATGTTGATAATTTGTTAAAGGTCCTGGATATCGTTATTGCTATAAAACATAATAATAATATAAATCAGGAATCATACCAGGATTTATACCAATATAATAATCTCTCTGTATAAATTGGAGACCATTTTTCAATGAAAATGTTTTAACTTTCTATTTTTTATTTTTACTTTTAAATTAAATTTTAATATTTTAAATATTAACAGTTTACATTACTTCATAAAAAACATACATCATAATATAAATTATTTATTACAAATTTCAATTATAATATAATAATATACAATAAAAATATTATTATTATATTATATAAAATAAACATTTATATTGTGTGTTACACTAATTTTGATTTCTTTAATTCTGCTAAGGTGATTACTTAGTTAAGCTGCTTTACTCTTACCAATTAGAATTTATGATAATTTTTGTCATATTTTATATTTTTTTGTGTGTAAATTTATTTTGAAAATGAAATAAACAATCTATAATTTTATTAAAAATCTTTAAAGAAATGAATAGTTAACTTCCATTTTACACAATTGGTCTCCTTTTCCTAATTTAAACTTCTCATTTAAAAAAAAAATTGATTTCTTCGTTAAAATTGCCAAAATGGTTCCAAAAACAGTAAAATTTTGGGACAAAAATTATTCATAAAAAAAAATATTATAACCATTAACATGGTAATAAATGTTATTATTGTAGTAATTAATTAATTGAGACAAAAAAATAAGACGGGTATTAAGGTAGTAGAATCTGGAAGTGTGAATGAGATGGAAGGATGGAAACAAAAACGCAGCAGCAGAAAGAAACCGACGTTCCTGGTTGCCCCCAAACACTAGAGTACTAATAGAATACTCTTTTGGTTTCGACGCGCACGAAGCTTCTACTGCCACCACTGCCTCATTCAATTCATTTACCCTAATCACACACTTTTTCCTCTTTCTCCACCATTTCTCATTCTAACCACCTTTTTAATACAAAAGATAAAAACTACCTGAAGATTCAAAGAACTTCATATATTAATTAATCTTAATTATCACTTCTTTCTCTCTCTCTGTTCAACCTTTTCCACCCTTTCTTCAAAGCTTTATCTCAGCCTTAACCCTCTCTCTCTCTCTCTCTTTTCTATTATTTCATTTATTCCGCTGTTTCCAGGTGAGCTTTTTCTTTTTTAATTTTTCTGCTTTTTCCAATTTTAGTTTCGGCTGTGTACCAGTTCAATTCAATCTTCTTATTCTCCTTTTTCATACTTTTTTTTTTTTTGGTTTCGTGGTGGTTCAATTCAATTTTTATTTTTATGTATATCATAATTATCATTCTATTTGTGCATCGGGTTTTCACCCTCTTTGTGTAACTGACGGAGTAGAACATGAAACAGAAGATAGATACTGGTGTTACTTTGAAGAAGCTATGACATCGGATAGCTTATGTTATTAGTGATAAAAATGATTTTTTTTTTTTAAAATAAAAAACTTATGCTTGTCGTTTGATGACAAGGTATATGTGGAAGCTTTTAGGGGTTTAGTTCTTTTTATGAAATGATGCGATTCTGGAACCAGTTTATGCCAGGATCATCGTTTGGTTTGCTTAATAGTTTGCTGATGGCACTTTTAAAGAGCTCGATATCACGTGTTCTTAGGTGCGGATTGCTATGTTTAATGAATAAATTTGAAGTTCTTAAGCATATGAATGTTTTGGTGACTTGTTGGTATATTTGTTCGAAGCTGTCACTATGTTTTACTTTCTTTTGCTCTTTTTTTTTCTTCATATATATATATATATATATTATTTTTTATTATATTTTTTATTTTGGCTTCCATGATACTCAAGCATTCACATTTTATAATGGATTTGAGATTTATTGTAGCTTTTGTTTGAATGATATTTTCTTTGAATCGATCTTGCTTCTGAGAAGGTTTTACTTATCTAAATAATTGTTTGTTATGCTTAAGAAGGAACAAATGGCTGGAATGACTAAGGAGGAAGAGTCAGGTAGTCCTAGCTGGGGTGCTTCATTTTTTATGCAGACAACGGAGGATGTGGCTAGAGCTGTCGCTGCTGCTATGAATTCTCCAAGACCATCTGTGATATATTCATCTAAAAATGATCATGGTGGCAGTCAACTTCAAAAACTGCAGCATCAAGTTACGAAAATGATAAAAGGATTTTCTCGCCCTTCTGATGTTCAATATGCAAATTACAATCCGGAAATCTTGACATCGCAGAAGCGTCAATGGGCTGAAAACTTTCAGTTGCAGTACTTGGTAAAATCTTGTTATTGAATTCATGAGAACTAGATGTTCATCATACTCTTTCTAGTATATGCTATAAAGAAATTTAAGTTGCTTGTTACTGTTGGATTTTGGTCTTTTTTTATTTTTATTTTTATTTGTTCTTCCTTTAGCAGTTTGGCTTACATCAGTTACTTACTTGAACATTCAGCTGTTTTCCCTTTTGCCTTAAACCATCATATCTACTTGTGTTTCTTCTTGCTACATGTCATTATCATTCTTTTTAGTTGTGCCTTTTCTGTTTGATTCAGCACACAAACTCAAACTAAATTGTCCCTGAAGTTGGGTTGTTTTAAGACACTGATTCACTCCTTTATATTTGAGTTCACAGGACCATAGGTCTTGGAAGGAGCCAACAAGGCTGTTTGAAAGCATGGTTGTCGTTGGACTTCATCCTAATTGTGATATTCAGGCACTGCAAAGGCAATATTTTTCAAGAAAATCTGAAAGCCCTGGTAAATTGAGAAGTGCACTTGGCTATCAGAATCATTCCCGTGTAGAACCTAATCTAGAACCTCAGGTTTTGAATTTCTTCTACTACTATTATTGTGATAGTTATTCTTGCTGCCTCTGGTCCTTTTTTTTTTTTTTTTTTTTTTTTTTTACAACAGTATTACTGCTATGTCCACTACAATTTCATTGGCTTCTATTCTGAATATTAGTCTTGTGTTCACATGTATTGGTATCTTGAAAACTGTATATTCATTTTTTTTTCCAGGTCTTATTTGTTTACCCTCCAGAAAAACAGCTGCCTCTTAAAGACAAGGATCTTTTCTCTTTCTGCTTCCCAGGAGGCTTGGAGGTTAGGTGTATGCACAATGAACTTCTAGTTATTACCCCCATTCATTTTATGTCATTACTGATACTGTCATCATCATAATCATTATCAATATTATTTTCAGATAAATATTGAGAAAAAATTACATATAGAATTAGGGAACTATTTTTATGATATAAAAGATTAGGAAGAAATTGTAGCTTTTTTAGAGATATTCCCCCTGACCTCCCACAGTTTGATATTGTGGAAAAGGCACTGGTATTTTCTTTTGTTTTGAAGGACCTCTAGCATTAGCTTATTGTTTTGACAAACAGAAAAGATCAGGAAAAGTTGTAGCTTTTGGAGAGATATTTCCGTCCACAATTTAATCTGATGTAAAAGATGCTTTTAATTCATAAAATGGTTTCAAACTTTATCTTCCTGGGTCTGTCTGTCTTTGGTGCTATTTTCTTTTGTTTTTACTGGAGTTTGAATTTATTGATTTTGTTATTTTGAAATAACATACTTAATGCCATCTTGGTATAGCTGAAGCAGCCAGGATGGGGTTGGGTGGGATAAATAAGGATTGATTCCCATGAAAAGCTAAAAGACTAAGAGAACATCATTGTTATTTAAGTAAACACTTTTTACCTTGATTAGGTGCACACAGTATGTTAGCATACAAATAACTACTCGATGAATCAGAGTGATCAATATTACTTTGTATTTAAATTTTTGCATCAGTTATTCAAATACTCAATTTTTATTGAATTATGTGTATGTAAAATGAGTCACAGATTTATTTATTTATTTTCATGTCAGTAATATTTATAGAGCTTATACTTAGGTTTTACTTTTTCCTGGCTCTGATTTTAGGTTAATGCTGTTGAGAGAACCCCTTCCATGAGTGAGTTGAACGAAATTCTTTATGGGCAGGTAACAAACCGTCTGAAATTATATATTGCGTTGTCAATCTGGTTACTTTGCAGTTTGCATCTACAACTTCATTGTATACAGACCCAGTATATCAGACGACCGATTTTTATGATGAAGTTGGAGGTGTCCAAGTTTTTAAACACCGATGCTCACTTGTGTTTGTATATTGATGTATGCAGGAACACCTTAAACAAAGGGACCTGTCTTTTGTATTTAGATTGCAGGTAACTAAAGTCATCTAATTGTTACATTTTTGCAACTTCTCATTTTTCCTTATACTTATGTTCTCTCTCTCTCTCTCTCTCTCTCTCTCTTCCTTACATCAACATATTCTAAGGATGAAAATTTGATTACAAGAAACCCTTAGAAATGTGTTTTAGAACTACGTATTTTGTTACTGGAATATACTATTCATCTATCTTTTCATTTTATTCTCTCCAGTATAATGTATCTTTCTAAATTATTCTTGGCAAATGTTATTTGAAAAATTACTGAAAAAAAGTTACTGTTTAGAATCATTTAACCACGCAATTGTATAACAATATTCAGAGTGGTTAATGAATGATCACTTCTGGACTTAATTAACCACTTTAGTTGTAACTTGGTCCTAAGATGCAAATATTTTAATCAAGAATTCCTTTTCTCCATTTGAAGAGGTTTGTGACTGGACCAGTGTTCGTTTTGTATTCTTTGGTAGTTGTTTTTGGACCTTAATATACCTTGGTTTACATCTGTAAGTTTTGAGGTTTACCTCTTGGTGCATAAAAGGCTCATATACTCCCATTAAAGCTCAGAACCCACTTCTAGTTGCCTGTGCAAAGTATGTATATTTTTCATGTCATTCTTAAATTAACTTCAAATTTCCCGTCAAGTTTGAAGGAAAACAAATTTTGTTGGCCTTGTGATTAGCTAAATAGCTAATACTTCCTTTTCTTTTCAAATTTGTCCACCAAGTATACCATGTCTTAAGGAACTATTGATTGGTCATTTGTTTAGTTGATCATTAAGTTTGAATTCTTAATTGATTCTCCTTTAACTGTAAGTCTCTCATATATATATATATATTTATTTATTTTGTACTCATTCCTGTACTCACAATGCTACTTCTTTTTTGGGCATTGTTAAAACACAGGGTGCTGATAATTCAACACTTTATGGGTGCTGTGTCTTAGTAGAAGAGTTAGTGCAAAAACCCTCTGGATTGCTCTCCCTGATTTCTGATAAGCAGTCAACTTATTCTTCTTGGAAACGCCATATATTAACCACACAGAGATGTTACTGCATTCTGTCAAGGCTCCCATTTTTTGAATTGCACTTTGGTGTATTGAATAGGTAGGTATTCATAAGAATCCTGAGTTCCCTCCCCTACGAGGGATGAGATATCGATGATATTTGCTATATCTTGTTATTTATTCTGTTAATTTTTGGAAGGATGGTTCTGTTAGTTAAGCAAATGGTCTGTTGTGTCTTGTATCATTGTATGCACCAAAATGTGTTAATTAAATCCTGATCTGGTGAGGGTTTATGGGATTGATGTGTAGTTGTACTTTTTGAAACATGTACATGCTAGTATTTTGTATATTTTGTGAAATTGACTTGTCATTCTAATTGCTTAAATATACTAACATGAACATTTTTCAGTTTTGAATATTTGCATTTCTTAAATTAATGAACTAAAAAACTTGGCTGGAAATAGCAAGGAAGTCATATATTGGGCTAAAAATGCACACCCCAACTTAGGTTGCTGGAGAAAAAAAAGCCTTCTTTATTGATTTCCAAATATTAAGTGTTGCAAATATATATTGGCCGGAAGTAATTGAGCTAAGATGTAGTTTGTTGTTACATAGATTAGTCTTGTGCATAGAGGAGTAAAATTTACTATTGTACATAGGTGAATAAAACTTTAAACTTGTCTGTTTTTTTTTCTTTCTTTTCATTTGTCCCTCAGCTTAAGATTTCAATGCTTGTAATTATATTTCTTACCTCTTGCAGGGCCTTTTCAAATAAATATATTTGGAAGATAAAGTGAAATATTTTCCATAATTTAGATTCTTAGTGTCGTAAGGGTAGAGCAAGTCTTAGAAAACATTGGGAGAGACCATTAAAAAAGACATTGATTTTAATAGAGCCCAAAGGAATTGAATGATCCATGTAATCAACTCCACCTCATGGGATAAGGTTGGTTTGTTGTTGCTTTAGTTTTGGTAGCTAATATGATGGCATGATGTTTGTGATTTGGGTATTTGGTAAAATTATTTTGCTTATTATATGCTCACATTTATTGTTATGTGTGATACTTGGAATGTTTGAATTGTTTGCCATCTAGCCTGACAATTTATGCTATAATTTTATGTTTTTGCTTGACTTATTGTACTGATATCTCTGTAGCATCTTCATGCAAGAACGGCTAGAGCGGTTGACAAGAAGTGTTGGAGATTTAAATTTAGAATACATTGAAGGTAGCTGTGAGGAAGAAAATTTGGGGGGAAATTCAGAGTGCATGTTGGTGAATGATAGATTGGAAGATAGACACAATGAAAATCCAAGGATTTCTCAATCAAGCCTAAGAAATTCCTCACCTGAGAACATTGAGGATGATAGTAATAATCCTGAGAAACAAATGCTTAATGAGGAGCTGCATACATTTAAGGAGGGAGTTGATGATCACAATGCTGTGCATATTGATCCTGAAACTGATAGAAAAATTGTCAAAGAATCTGTCCCTACAAATGTTGAAGATAGTGATTTGTATGGAGATGCTTTTGTAACAAACAAACAGTCAGAAGATAGGCGTTTACCAAATGCTATTCTACCACTTCTGCGGTATTGCCAGTATGAAAGTTCCGAATCTTCCTGCAGGTACAAGACATTGTGATTGTCCAGTGCATTTAATCTGTGTTTATTTTATATGAACTTAACACTACGTAATGGATGTTACTGTGCTTTCTCTGGTATAATGGATGTTCTCTTTAGCAATCAGATCTAAAAGTACTAATAACAAAATGTTATTGTATGAGTCTGTTTTGTGAGTTGTTTGATGTACTTTTATTTTATATTGGTTCAAAGAATTTTCTGTTACTTGCTTATTGTTGACATCATTTGACAGCAGATGCTGGTGGATCTTGATTTATGCTAGATGGGAATGAAAAAGTAGTATTAATTATTATCATGTTCCCTGGTGTATACTTGTGTATGCTATATGGAATGAGTTGATGTGGAATAATGTAGACATAGAATGAGTCACAGTAGCTACCCATTGTGTTTCTTACTTAGTATCTGGTGTGGTTTCTTTTTCTTTTTGAGGTTACTTCCTGTACATAGAATTACATATTTATTTTTTTCTTTCACATTTCTTCTTTCTTTCTAATAAAATGTAATTACTTATCCAAAACAAATCCTGATGTATTTACACAGTTATCTTTTGGATTGACTATGCTTTGTAGTATTGTAGTATATTATATTTTTGTGTTTGTTCCCTTCTTCCAAGTGGTTATATAAAACATATGGTCTGTTTTATGCTGTTTTCTTGGTTCACCTTGTTGTGAAGGATATTTTGGGCATGATTGGTGTCCATTTCTTATATATGATGCATCTTAAAATCTGCTTCATGCAGTTTTCAGTCTTCTCCTTGTGAAGACAGAAATTTTAGGAGTGATGCGGATGATACCGAGACAGAAGATGCTTCATTCTCTGGCCAAGAGGATTTAAATGACCTACATGATATTCTTGAATGGGCTAAGGTTTATAGTTTTAAATGCACCTTTTACTGTTATTTTCTGGATTGTGTCTTGATTTTTATTGCTGATGTTACTTTTATCAATTCCCAGGCAAATAACTGTGGACCATTACAGATTATAAGTGAGTATTATAGCTTAGGTTGCCCTGCAAGGGGCTCGACACTTCGGTTTCATCCTTTGGAGCACCTGCATCCCTTGGAATATCACAGACCAGATGAGACAATTTTACATTTAGCTGGTACAACCTTTGATTTGAAATCTTGCAGTACCAGTCTGGAATTAGCAGAGGTATGTTACATTAATTATGATGGGATTAAATTGCTTTATCTCCTCTTAAAATTTAAGATGTGTCTTCTGTGTTGTATCATGTTTGATGGTCATAGGCTCATGAAAATACTTTGTTTTGTTTGTTCCTCTCAGGCATATAATTCTATTCTGGCTGAGGAGGAGGCAACTGCGTTATCTATATGGGCTGTAGCATGTATATGTGGTACCTTGAGACTTGAAAATGTAGGTTCTGTTTTAACTTAGTATTATCTGGAATCTATGTTCTTATACCAAATATTGTAACATTTGTGGATATTTATTACTCTATTAGTAACTACTGCTTCTAGATTTAATGAGATCTAGTATTAATAATTGATTTGGTCACTTCAATTGTTGTTAAATTAAGAGAAGGGGGGGGGGGGGGGGGGGGGGG